CTATTGTTGTCCTGTTCACATATCAGCAAATAGGTACCTGGGTGTTAGTTGACTGGTGTGGGTCGCATCCTGGGGGACAAGATTGAGGACCCAAGATTGAGGCGTTTGACACAGTTGACCACAATCTCTTGCACCTCAAACTGAATCATTACGGCATAAGAAGACATTCTCTTGACTACCTAAAATCCTATCTTAACGACAGACACCAGTATGTACATGCAAATGGAGTCAACTCTGCTATCTAACCTGTAGCTGTAGGAGTACCCCAAGGTAGTGTCCTAGGCCCACTCCTCTTTCTCATCTACATCAATGATCTCCCCACTGCATCCCAACTCCTCACACCCGTTCTATTCGCAGATGACACTTCATATGTCTACTCCCATTCAGACCCAGCTCTGCTTGAAAACACTGTAAACAATGAATTGCTAAAGATATATGCTTGGATGATGACCAGCAAACTCACTCTCAACATAGACAGAACATACTTCATGCTGTTTGGCAACAGAGTCTCAAATATTCAACTCAACATACTGTTAAATGGTTCCCCTATGTCAAGACACATGGAGGGCAAATTTCTAGGTCTTCTCCTTGACTTTAATCTTAAATTTCAGTCCCATACCCATCACATAGCCAAGAAAATTTCCAAATCAGTAGGAATCCTTTCCAAGATAGGCTACTATGTACCATAAATGACTCTCCTTACCCTGTACCACTCTCTAATATATCCTTACCTCACCTATGGTATCTGTGCCTGGGGCTCAATCACAGCCAACCACCTTAGACCCTTAATAATCCAACAGAAAGCTGCTGTACAGGTGATAACCAGCTCCTGTGCTAGACAACACACCCACCACTTTTGAAAAGACTCAACTTGCTAAATATAGTATCAAAGACTGCAAGAAAAGAGCTCTTCAGATCATTAATTCTCCACGCACCAATACCACTCCCAACAAAGTTATAATTCTTCCCAAAAGCCAGGTTGCACTGAACGTTTCAAAACTACTTTCACAAGCTAACACCAGAGTCGCCATCGCTTCTAGCACTTCAATAAAGGATCTAACCAGGACAAAATCCAAGCACCACGAACCAGTCAATGCAGGAGTTTACACTATACCCTGTGGAGGCTGTGACAAGATTTACGTAGGTGAAACAGCAAGAAACCTCGACACCCGCCTCAATGAACACATTTACGCATGTAGGAACGATAACTTGAACAACACCTGTGTACAACACCGAAATTCCACCAATCATCTCATGAAATTCAGAGACGCCCAATTAGTGATCAAAGAAACTAATTTCCGCAGACGCAAGTGCCTCGAATCAGCACTGATCGCTGTTTTGAATACAATTAAACAAAACAACGGCAGCTTCACCATCTCCGAAGTCTTAGCAAGAATCCTCCTGAAAACAGTAAACCCTGCCATCACATAGTCTCTCCTGTTATACTACACAAAGCACATTACAGAGAGTGAACACTGAAACAAGCTGCCTCTTTCCAGTCTATATTTGTCCAACCTATTTTTATGTTACCCAAGTAATAGCTTTTACATGTATATCCTTTTACTCATGTACGAATTAATTGCTCTACCATATTGTATTACTTTTGTCACTACTACTACTACCACTAGTGAACATCGAAATGGTACCTCACTAGTATTGCACCTCACTCTGAGCCTTTATATACCCTCTGTGTCCATGTATTGTTTGTAATGGCTTGATAAAGCTTCTGGAGAGTGAAACGTTGCCACAATTAAATGTCACATTAGTTGCACTTGTGTCCTTTTACTTTACATATTGTCGGTAATTCTACCAACTTTATTACAATCTGTCGGACACCGCAACATAATGGACATTTCATGCAGACGTTATTTGGACACTCTTGCTAAATATACAAGACATACACTCTTATTATTGTGCCTACTTCATATACAGAACTTTAAACTCCTCTGTAAACCCTCCCCTAAAACTTCTCCTCGACAGTTACAACAGAATACACAGTCACAATACAGGGCATAAGGCACTTTTCAACATCCTTCGAGTCAGACTCTCACTATACAAGAACGCTATGCACATAAAAGGCCCAAAGATCTGGAACTCGCTACTGGAACAGGTCAAGGATCCCCAGACAGCTTTTAAATTTAGGACTCTGCTAAAAAATCATTTTATCTCACAATATTAACCAAATCAACCAAACATCTACTGACTAGTTTTATCATGTGACCACCTGGCTTTTAATTCTGCTATTCCATAAAATATTACCACCTGCACTATTCCTTGTAAATTAGATTTTGTACTAAGTATACATAAGATTTATTAAGTCCAAATAAGATTGTAAAACAGTTAACCACTATTCTGTGTTTAATTTAAGTATAATTACTATGTACTATTCTCTTATCTAGTTTTAATTAGTTACTATGTATTAGGATTAGTTTGCCCGAAATGTCTCGGCATGATAGTGGCTATCTTTATACGTACTTAGCAAATCAAAATTGTAATTACACATTGTAACCTTTACAAAGAAATAAACTTATTATTATTATTATTATAAGTTAGACAGTCCTCAGTGTGATGCACTGACTTTCTTGGGTTATCTTGGGTGGCTAGCCCTCTGGGGTTAAAAATCCAAATGAAATCTTATCTTATCTTACTCCATAATTCATACATTCTTTCTTGTTCTTTTTTTTCTTTTGTACACTGCCAGTCTTTGAGCACCATCCTTTATTTCATACACACATACATTGAGAGAGTATAGTGGTACCAACAGTTTTATGTACATATATGGGTGTGAAGCATTGGGTGTCAATGCTGCAGCAAGGAGGAGGCTGGAGGCAGTGGAGATGTCATGTCTAAGGGCAGTGTGTAGCGTAAATAATATACAGAGAATTCGTAATGTGGAAATTAGGAGGAGGTGTGGGGTTACTAAAAGTATTAGTCAGAGGGCTGAAAAGGGGTTGTTGAGGTGGCTTGGTCATTTAGTGAGGATGGAACAAAGTAGAATGACTTGGAGAGCATATAAATCTGTAGTGGAAGGAAGGCAGGGTAGGGGTCATCCTAGGAAAGGTTGGAGGGAAGGGGTAAAGGAGGTTTTGCGGGTGAGGGGCTTGGATTTCGACTTCTAGCACGCATGCATGAATGTGTTAGATAGGAGTGAATGGAGATGAATGGTGTTTGGGACCTGACAAGCTGTTGAATTGTGAGCAGCATAATATTTTGTGAAGGGATTCAGGGAAACTGGTTAGCCAGACTTGAGTCCTGGAAGTGGGAAGTACATACAATGCTTGCACTTTAACCCTTTGACTGTGACAAACCCCTTTCTGAAACTCATTCTATGTCGAAAAATTTTCGGAAATTTTTTTTTTATTTTTTCTTACGAAATGATAGAGAATCTTTTCCCGATGGAATGACACCAAAAGTATGAAATTTGGTCGAAAACTCACGGAATTACGCTCCCGCGAAGTTAGCGGTCTTGGCGACATATACGCATCGGCGATTTCACTGACTTTAAGCCCTGTTTTTGGCCAATTCCGTTGTTCCAGTTGACCAAACTCATAGCTGTTTCCTTAGAACAACATTTTTTCTATCAGTTGAGTACAAGAAGCCACCCAATTACCGATTTGAACTACCCAATAAAGTGGTCAGAAATTGGCAATTTGGCCAATTTCATGCAAATTAAAAAAGATGCCAATTTCTAAATAGGGTCCAGAATAAACAATGTAGATATTCTTGGCACTAAAATAACATATCCTCTGTTCATTAGTCATATCTCTAGGCCCCTCTTATATTACTATTGCTTACTATTTTGATTTTTTATTCATACAAAAAATACAAAATTTACTGTTATGCAGACTACTGCATTATTGTAAAAATGGTATAAATAATATCAGTGCACTAGTGAAAGAATATTAGACTCCCCAGTTGACGTGTATTGGACGTGTGGTGTGATTTGTTTACTCCTGAACATTGGTAAAAATCAAAGATTTCCGCTACTTTGAGCTCAATTTCAAGGTCGTTTTCATCGTGAAACTAATCAAAATCATTTCTATTTCTGTAATATGTTTTCCATTTTATCACGTGAGACCATGAAAATGAGAATACAACGATAAATACTATATGAAAATACACCTCAAATTCGACATTTTAATCCAAAAAAATGGTCAGTTTTTTTTTTCTCATTATGCATTGCGTGCTGCAGGATTTTTTTTATGTGGTGCACACTGACCACACAGACCCATTCTCTCACATGTGGGCTTACCAGCTTTCTCCTGCTTGATTTGAAGCCACTAGAGTTTATGCGTATTAATACATCCGAAACACTAGCTCGTAAGACGTATATATACGACCAAAACAGTCAGAGGGTTAAAGGAGGGTTTTGGGATATTGGCTCTTTGGAGTGACATCTAAACTGTTGTATCTGAGCACCTCTACAAAGACAGTGATTATGTATGAATGATAGTGAAAGTGTTGAACGATGATGAAAGTTTTTTTTCTTTTTGGATCACCCTGCCTTGGTGGAAAATGGCCAATATATTTAAAAAAAATTGAGAAAATATACCAAATGTTATAATACAGTGGTACCTCAGGATACGAACTTAATTCATTCCAGAAGGCTGTTCGAGTGCCGATACCGAACGAATTTGTCCCCATAAGGAATAATGTAAATTAGATTAATCTGTTTCAGACCCCCAAAAATACACTTACAAAAGCACTTACATGAATACACTTACATAACTGTTAGAGTTTTCAGCCGTTCGCATCCCGAGGTACCACTCTATTTTAACTGCCTGTAAAGCATGCTTCATTTGGTACTTGTGTATTATTATTTGTTGATTAAAAGGTTATTTCAGGTGAATACTGTATTTTAATTTGTAAGCCCTTATCCTGTATACATTACCAAAGTTTAAAAGAGGAACTTTTGTTTTTCCTTTCGGGCCACCCTGCCTCAGTGGGATATGGCCGGTGTGTTGAAAGAAAGATTTTAATTTGTATTTACCTATTTTAAGGTATGTGATAAACGAGGGAGAGGGACTCCAGCAGAGCCTGCAAATAGCATGAGCATGGAGACTGCATTTTCCGCAGCAGGAGAAGCAAACTCACCTACACAAACGGAGCCACAAGTTATAAAACTCAGAATTTCACCATCTGTTGTGACTCTTGCACAGGTAAGTTGTTTCCTCTTATATTGCATAACTGACTTGCTAAATGTGAACTGTAATGGTATTGCACTTTATGAATTTGTCTTTTAGTGTTTGTAATATTTTTTAAAGATTGAATTCTATTATCTCTTCTCTTATTTCCTTCAGAGAAATTGTTCAACAAAACCTACCAAGGTCTAAACTATTGTACTGAATTATTAAATTTTATATTCTTCTTTCAACAAACCGGCCATATCCCACAGAAGCAGTGTGGCCCAAAAGAAAAAGCAATACTTTCTCCTTTTAAATTTAGTAATATATACAGGAGAAGGAGTTACTAGCCCCTTGCTCCTGGCATTTTAGTTGCCTCTTATGACATGCATGGCTTATGGAGGAAGAATTCTGTTTCACTTCCCCATGGAGATGATTAACAATTATTTAAAAAAATCCAATGCCTTGTTCATGCTTGCAAATTAGTCGTGTGTGTGTGTGGCACCTATATAACTCAGTCATTCCAGTTTGCTCTTGCCTCACTTTCACATATTGAAAAGAATCACCATTAGAAAATGTAAGATGAGGGAGTCACAAAAACAGGATAAGTAAAAACAGTAAAAATTAAATTTTTTTAGTGGATTTAATTAAATGCTCTATAACCAGGGTGTGTAGGCGAGGGAGGAGATGATTTTCCAGTAAAAGTAGGCCTTAGACAGTGATACATAATGTCACCATGGTTGTTTAACATGCAGTATTTATAGATTGGGTTGTAAAAGAAGTAAATGCTAGGGTATTGGGGAGGGGGGTGGGATTAAATTATGCAGAATCAAATACAATATGGGAGTTGACACAGTTAATTTTGCTGATGATACTGTGCTTTTGGGAGATTCTCAAGAGAAGTTGCAGAGCTTAGTGGATGAGTTTGGGAGTGTGTGTAAAGGAAGAAAGTTGAAAGTGAACATAGATAAGAGTAAGGTGATGAGGGTATCAAACAAGTTAGATAAAGAAAAATTAGATATCAGATTCGAAGGAGGGAGTACGGAAGAAGTGAATGTTTTCAGATATTTGGGAGTAGACTTGTCAGCAGGTGGGTTTATGAGGGATAAGGTAAACCATATAATTGACAAAGGAGAGAAGGTGCGTGGTGCATTGACATATCTATGGAGACAAAGAATGTTATGCATGTAGGCAAAGAAGGGAATGTATGAAAGTATAATGGCACCAACACACTTCTATGGGTGTGAAACAGGTTGTGAATGTTGTAGCTAGAAGGAGGCTGAAGACAATGGAGATGCCCTGTCTAAAGGCAGTGTGTGGCATAAATATTGTGCAAAGGATTTGTAGTGTTGAAGTTAGGATGAGGTGTGGAGTTACTAAAAGTATTATGGAAACATAAACACATATGCAGTTTAATGTGATCCTTTATTGACAACGTTTCACCCACACAGTGGGCTTTTTCAAGTCACACACAGATCTGTGTGTGACCTGAAAAAGCCCACTGTATGGGTGAAACGTTGTCAATAAAGGATCACATTAAACTGCATATGTGTTTATGTTTTCCATTGTGTCTGTATTTTATACCATTTATTTAAAAGTATTATATAGACAAAAGCCTACATCACATAAACATGTTCCATTAAAATGTTCTGGTTAAAGGGCCAACTAGAAAGCAGACTTTGAGGAGAAGTTGTTGAAGTGGTTTGGCCATTTAGAGAGGATGGAGCATAATAGAATGACTTGGTGTATGAATATGTAGTGGAGGGGAGGAGGGGTAGGGGTCATCATAGGAAAGGATGAAGGGAAGGGGTAAAAAGAGGTTTTGTGTACAAGGGGCTTGGACATAAAGCAGGTATGTGTGAGCATGTTAGATAGGAGTGAATGGAGATGAATGGTTTTTGGGACTTGACAAGCTGTTGGAGTGTGAGCAGGGTAATATTTTATGAAGGGATTCAGGGAAACCAGTTGGACTTGAGTCCTGGAGGTGGGAAGTACAATGCCTACACTTTAAAGGAGGGGTTTGGGATATTGGCTGTTTGGAGTGACATCTGAACTGTCGTATCTGTGCACCTCTGCAAAGATAGTAATAGTGTGAATGGTGATTTTTTTTTTTTTGTGGGGGGAGGGGGGGGGGGTAGCATGTTGAAAAAAAACAGTATTAGACAAATGATAAATATTAGGTGTGTCATATGAAGATTGGTTTGAAAATATTAAACAGATTACAGTCTTAACTAGTTTAGGTATAAAAATGGACACTGTGAAAGTATTGATACAGTTCAGCTTCAGTGCAAAATTTATCTTTCAGATACTACTAACTTTATTTACTCAATATGAGAGTTTAGAGTTGTATGTCATGGCTATTTTATGGTTATGTGATGAAATTAATATTTTGTTTTTACTTCTGATCTGTTCTTAAAATTTACAAGAATTATTTGTAGATATTGTGTTTTTCAGTTCTTTGGAGTACACGTTATGAGTGTGAGTGTAATGTACCTACGGGAGAAATGGCCAGAGTGTCTACTTCATGCATCAGCTGAGAAGATCACACTTGAAGGGGCTACTTTAAACCAGTCGAATATAGCTGTAAGTCCATTGTTTTAAATTTTCACTTTTGTTAATGAATAAATATTACAGGCTCTGGAACAAGACAAGTAAATGTATCTAAAGTATAGGGTTATACTTTATTACTGAACTGTACAGTTGGTATTGTTGTGGTCCCTGAATATGTGAAAGGAGAACTGAAGTGATTAAACTAGACCTGTCTTAATGACAAGTGTGTTGTTGTAAAAAATGCTGCAAAAATACTGAGATAAAGGTAAATAAAGCTTCTAAAGAACAACAGATATTGCTATCAGGGAGTTTAGTTTCCAAGTGACTAAATCTTTTACATAATATCCACTCAAATAAGCCACTGTGATAGTCACTAAACTTGCTGATGATAAAAACATGAAGCATAAAAAAAGTAATAATACTGAAGATAAATCTTGAAACGAAGACATAGTTAAATACAGTGGAACCTTGACTTAAGAGTTTAATCTGTTCCGTGACCTAGCTCGTACTCAATTTGCTTGTAGTATATCAAATCAGTTTTCCCCATTTAAATTAACTGAAATGCCATTAATCCGTTCCAGCAGAATTCCTGCTCTCGGGAGGCAGGACAAAATATTTCAGTATAATGCTAATATCAACTCTACAGCTTATTTATCTATCATAATTGATCTAATATGACATAACATGATATGTACTCTTGAATGAATAAAATATGTCATTATGTGATGAGTGGTGGCAGCCATTGCCACTGCCGCACTCACCATATCTTCTCATTCTTCCCCTTCTGAAAATGGAGTGTTTGTGAGGCTAACTGCACTGGATCACTAGTTTCATAAGGAAAACACTGAAACAATGTATTTATAAATAAGTAATTTTTTTTTATTATTATCACACTGGCCGATTCCCACCAAGGCAGGGTGGCCCGAAAAAGAAAAACTTTCACCATCATTCACTCCATCACTGTCTTGCCAGAAGAGTGCTTTACACTACAGTTTTTAAACTGCAACATTAACACCCCTCCTTCAGAGTGCAGGCACTGTACTTCCCATCTCCAGGACTCAAGTCCGGCCTGCCGGTTTCCCTGAATCCCTTCATAAATGTTACTTTGCTCACACTCCAACAGCACGTCAAGTATTAAAAACCATTTGTCTCCATTCACTCCTATCAAACACGCTCACGCATGCCTGCTGGAAGTCCAAGCCCCTCGCACACAAAACCTCCTTTACCCCCTCCCTCCAACCCTTCCTAGGCCGACCCCTACCCCGCCTTCCTTCCACTACAGACTGATACACTCTTGAAGTCATTCTGTTTCCCTCCATTCTCTCTACATGTCCGAACCACCTCAACAACCCTTCCTCAGCCCTCTGGACAACAGTTTTGGTAATCCCGCACCTCCTCCTAACTTCCAAACTACGAATTCTCTGCATTATATTCACACCACACATTGCCCTCAGACATGACATCTCCACTGCCTCCAGCCTTCTCCTCGCTGCAACATTCATCACCCACGCTTCACACCCATATAAGAGTGTTGGTAATATTGCATAAAAATATAATAAAACATAAAAGAGAATGTAAAGAAATAAACTGGTTTTATAAAGTGTACATATGCTGGCAGAGGTGGAGGGTGGAAGTTAGGCTACTTGCTACATTTTATTGCTGAACTCAACTGCTACACTTTATCGCTGAACTTAATTGCTACACTCGAAATGCTACGCTTTATCACTGAACTTAATTGCTACACTCTTAACCCTTTCAGGGTCGGCAGGCCCTCTCCTAAACTTGTTCTCAGGGTCGGAAATTTAAAAAAAAAAAAAATTCTTACGAAATGATAGAGAATCTTTTCCCGATCATAATGACACCAAAAGTATGAAATTTGATGGAAAACTTACGGAATTTGCTCTCGTGAAGTTAGCGGTCTCGATGATGTTTATGCATTGGCGATTTCGCCCACTTTGAGCTCTATTTTCGGCCAATTCCTATGTACCAGTCGACAAAAAATGTGCCTAAAGAAGGAATAGCAATAATGTTGAAGGTAAAGCTATGGCAGGAAAAGAGGGAATACAGTGGACCCTCGGCTAACGCTATTAATCCGTTCCTGAGAGCTCATCGTTAGTCAAAATTATCGTTAGTCAAGTTAATTTTCCCCATAAGAAATAATGGAAATCAAATTAATCCGTGTATGAAAAAAAAATTGTTTTTACCACACGAAATATTAATTTTAATACACACAAACTGAAGAAGACATGCACAGTTACATGACACTTACCTTTATTGAAGATCGGGTGATGATTGATGGGAAGGGAGGAGGGGAGAGTGTTGATGGTCTTAGTGTTTAGAAGGGGAATCCCCTTCCATTAGGACTTGAGGTGGCAAGTCCTTTTCCGGGGTTACTTCCCTTCCCTTTAAATCTCTCAAACCAACCTTTGCTGGCCTTAAATTCACTCACTTCACCACTAGTTGCTGGCATTTTTTTAATTAAATCATCATGCAACTTCCTAGCTTTTTCACATATGATCGCTTGAGAGATGCTATCTCCTGCTATCTGTTTTTCGTTTATCCACACCAATAACAGTCTCTCAACATCTTCGAGTACTTGCGATCTCAGTTTCGAAAACATAGTTGCACCTTTGGCAAGAACAGCTTCCTTGATTGCCGTTTTCTTGCCCACAATAGTAGCGATGGTTGATTGGGGTTTTGTGTACAACCTGGCCAGCTCAGAGACACGCACTCCACTTTCATACTTAGCAATGATCTCTTTCTTCATATCCATAGTAATTCTCACCCTTTTTGCTGTAGGGTTGGCACTAGAAGCTTTCTTGGGGCCCATGGTGACTTATTTTGCAGGTGCAATCACTAAAAAGGCTGTGATAATATAAAATGTTCCGATTGTATGCTTGGAAGTGACCGCGGTGGCTGGCTGGCTTGTAAACCCTGGCCAGAAGTGGACGCGTCTCAGACGGAACGAATAGTGTTGGTCGAGTTTTTTTAGCGCTAGTCGAGGCAAAATTTTTGCGTTAAAATGTATCACTAGTCGGATTTATCGTTAATCGATGCCATCGTTGGTCGAGGGTCCATTGTATAAATGTATTAATTCAAGGATTATGTGGAGTACAATAAAGGTTGGATGTGAAAAGTAGGTTATAGTAAGCATATATGCACCTGGAGAAGAGAAAAGTTTAGAGGAGAGAGAGAGATTTTGGGAAGTGTTGAGTGAATGCATGGGGAGTTTTGAACCAAGTGTGAGAGTACTTGTGATTGGGGGTAGGCTCCAGGATGTACACGTTTATAGAGAGGCAACTGATATATCAGATCATTATCTAGTTGTAGCTACAGTTAGAGTAAGAGGTAGATGGGACAAGAGGAAATTGGCAATAACAAGTAAAAGGGAGGTGAAAGTGTATAAACTAAGGGAGGAGGAAGTTCGGGCGAGATATAAGCAACTATTGGCAGAAAGGTTGGCTGGTGCAAGTATGAGTAGTGGGGAGGTTGAAGAGGGTTGGAGTAGTTTTAAAAATGCAGTATTAGAATGTGGGGCAGAAGTTTGTGGTTATAGGAGGGTGGATGCAGGAGGAAAGAGGAGTGATTGATGGAATGATGAAGTAAAGGGTGTGATAAAAGAGAAAAAGGTAGCTTACGAGACGTATTTACAAAGCAGAAGTGTTATAAGAAGAGTAGAGTATATGGAGAGTAAAAGAAAGGTGAAGAGAGTGGTGAAAGAGTGCAAAAGGAGAGCGGATGATAGAGTGGGAGAGGCACTGTCAAGAAATTTTAATGAAAATAAGAAAAAATTTTGGAGTGAGTTAAACAGGTTAAGAAAGCCTATGGAACGAATGGATTTGTCAGTTAAAAACAGAGTAGGGGAGTTAGTAGATGGGAAGATGGAGGTATTGGGTAGATAGTGAGAATACAGTGGTCCCCCTGTTCGCGAAGTCATCGGTAACCGATAAATCTGGTATCCGAAGCGTTATATCGCAAAAAATTTGCCTCGGTTCCCGTTACAAAACCCGGTACGCGATATGATTCGTACAAGACATGTCCACGTGTGGCCTGAACTGCCCCGTGTGTGCCAGTGTTTACAAGCCAGCCAGTGTGCATGCATCTAAGGATACATTCGGTACATTCCATATTATCACTGTTTTTGGTGCTTGTTTTTGCAAAATAAGTCACCATGGGCCCCAAGAAAGCTTCTAGTGCCAACCCTTCGAGACCAAGGGTGCTAATGACTATTGAAATGAAGAAAAAGATAATTGCAAAGTATGAGAGTGGAGTGCGTGTGTCGGACCTGGCCAAGTTGTATAGTAAATCCCAATCAACCATCTCTACTATAGTGAGCAGGAAAACGGCGATCAAGGAAGCTGTTCTTGCAAAAGGTGCAACTGTGATTACAAAACAGCGATCGCAAGTGTTAGAAAATGTTGAGAGACTGTTACTGGTGTGGGTAAATGAAAAACAGATAGCTGGAGATAGCATCTCTCAAGCGATCATTTGTGAAAAGGCTAGGCAGTTGCATGAGGATTTAATTAGAAAAATGCCTGCAACTAGTGGTGATGTGAGTGAATTTAAGGCCAGCAAAGGTTGGTTTGAAAGATTTAAGAATCATAGTGGCATACATAGTGTGATTAGGCATGGTGAGGCTGCCAGTTCAGACCACAAAGTGGCTGAAAAATATGTGCATGAATTCAAGGAGTACATAGAGGCTGAAGTAACCCCGGAAAAGGACTTGCTACCTCAAGTCTTAATAGAGGGGGATTCCTCTTATTTTTTTTTTTTATTATCACACCGGCCGATTCCCACCAAGGCAGGGTGGCCCGAAAAAGAAAAACTTTCACCATCATTCACTCCATCACTGTCTTGCCAGAAGGGTGCTTTACACTACAGTTTTTAAACTGCAACATTAACACCCCTCCTTCAGAGTGCAGGCACTGTACTTCCCATCTCCAGGACTCAAGTCCGGCCTGCCGGTTTCCCTGAATCCCTTCATAATGGTTACTTTGCTCACACTCCAACAGCACGTCAAGTATTAAAACATT